TGGTTCTGCCTCCATCGCCTGATCACCCAGGTGCATGCGTTAAAGGGGATGTGGTCTCTAATAGTTTGCCACTAAGGGATTAGGGGCGAGTTCTTATTCCTGCGCCCCGGCCTCCTTTTAAGCCACTCGTTTCTGCATTCTTCTCCCCCACAAAATGAGGAGCCGCCCCTGACGGGTGGCGACTGGTTCCCTGTGCCTTACAGCTTCTGTTTCTCTGCCTGCTCCAGGGGTCCCCAACGTCGTGCCCACTTGACACCTTTTCCGGCTTTTAGAAAGTGGGCAGGGCCAGGTGGGGTTCTTTTACCCAGTGAAGCTTTCGATTGGCTGTGCGGATGTTCAGAAACATTGCTTTGGCAGCAGCTGCCACCAGGGTTCCCTCTAAGCTGAGTCCGTGTGAGCCAGCTCACAGGTTTTTTAGCCTCCAGCTCGGACATTTTTGTCTATGGCTGCAGAGCGAACTAATTTATGCAGCGGCCAAATGGCTCGTTCACAGCTTTTAATGCCAGTAGCCCACAAAAGTAGAATTTTTGCTCACAAGGCTCCAAATCTTAGAGGGAGCATTGGTTAGGGTTATTAGGGTTAGGGATAGGGTTGTTAGGATTAGGGGTAGGGTTCTTAGGGTTAGGGGTAGGGTTCTTAGGGTTGTTAGAGTTAGGGTTAAGGACTCAGTGTTCCCTCTAAGCTGAGTCAGTGTGAGCTAGCTCACAGTTTTTTAGCCTCCAGCTCATGCATTTTTGTCTTCGTTCAGAAAGGAGGGCTCCAGAGCAAACTGATTGATGCAGCAGCCAAATCGCTCGCTCACAACTTTAATGCCAGTCGCTCACATAGTAGAATTTTTGCTCACAGGACTCCACAGCTTAGAGGGAGCCTTGGCTGCCAACACAGAACCAGGATCTTCGCTGCATGACTGAAGATGAGCTGGAGGCCACCGTTTTGTAGCCGGCCTCACCTCCTGCAGCAGCCATCTTGTGGTTGCACCCAGCACGTTGTATCAGAATTCCAAAAGTGCCTGCCGGCTCCAAAGGGTTGGGGAGCCCGGCCTACCTGGTTGGTCCTTTCTCCTCCTGTCTTTTCTTGTCTCCTTTCCTAGCTTCTGTTTACCCTCTTGCACCTCCCACACCACACTACCTCACCAGCTCACCCTTACATTTGGGGGAGAGCCATTTTGGTATAGCAGTTAGGAACACGGACTCTAATCCGGGAGAACCGGGTTTGATCCCCCCCCTTCCTCCACATGCAGCCAGCTGGGTGACCTTGGGTCAGTCACAAGTTCTTTCGGAGCTGTCCTCTCAAGGGCAGTCTTCGGGAGAGCATTCGCAGCCCCACCTACCTCACAGGGTGTCTGTTGTGGGGAGGGGACGGGAAAAGGATTATGAGCCACTCTGGGACTCTTTCGGGTAGTGAAGGGTGAGGTATAAATCCAGTCTCTTCTTCTTCTTCTGCGACTGAGCAGTGGAACATCTGCTCAGCATGCAGAAGGCCCCAGTTTGAATCCCTGGCCTCTCCAGTTTGAAGGATCAGGTAGCAGATGATACAAAAGACTTTTGCTAGAGAGCCGCTGCCGCTCCTTAATAGACAGCACCCTGAAGGAGCAGTGGACCAGATCAGTATTAAGGCCGCTTCATGTGTTCATGAGTGTCCAGTTAACTGTTGCCTCTTGATACCTCTTTCCTTCCCCCATCTAGGTTAGGGGACTATCCAGCTCTCCCTTCAACACCGGCTGTTCTAGGCCGAACATTCTCGGGAATACGCTGTTCTCTCTCTTTCTGAGGAATGTGGTCTTTGGACTCTTTGTTAACCGAACGATTCCTCTTCCTCCTTCATCCGTGTAAAATCTCCCTTTTGGGCACCTGCCCGTGTCGTCTTCCTCTATTTCTGAAGTCCCTCTTTCTAGGTGTGCCTCTTTATGGGGGAAGGTAACGCACCTGGTGCGGAATATATTTTTTTCCATCTCCTAAATGAACCTTCCACACAATTCAGAGGTGCCTTTATTTTCGCACCGCTCCCGTTTACTTTTGCCCGATCGATATCCTTCCGACTCCCCAGTCCCAGAGCTTGGTTAATTCCTGAAGAAGAGATCCGAATTATTCCCCGCCCGTCACTACCCAAAGGAGTCTCAGAGCGGCTTAGAAACTCCTCTCCCTTCCCCTCCCCACAACAGA